TCCACGCATCAATCTCAAGTTGTCTCAAGCCTTTGAGCCCCGCACAGGTGTACTTGCCATCGCTCACCACCGCATGCCCAATATGAGCCATGTGGACACGAATTTGATGCCTGGAGGCTGGCCAGGCCAGCTCACTGCTTGAACGCTTCCAGTGAAAAGGGGATTTGTATTTTATATATGTGTGTAATATAATATATATACACATATATATATATACCGATATATACCTAGAAATCACATTGTTCCAGGCGCATATAGCTCGTCCCATCGCTGGGTCAATGGAGGGAAGTCGCTAGCCTTCGGCCCGTGTCGATGGCCACAGCCAAAAGGGAGAAGCTACGACTCGCTGCCAGACTCGACATGGCCTTTACCCTGGGAGGAATGACTGGCTGGGTGGCTGCAAGCTGGATGGGATGTTAAGGGATGAAGGCTCAGAGATCCATTCTGTTACAAACGTCAACTCCAAGTTTTTTGCTGAAGAAACTCGTCTTGCACTATGTCGGCACCATTTTAGCATGAGTGCCTTATGAAGTTCAGAACCCTGGGAACCCAGGTCAGCTGTTCACGGATATGTCCATGGCAGATGTTCACACAACTTGCCGGAGCCCTGGCCTGGTCCGAGACGGCTTCCCATATGACCGCACCACACCTTGGTCGGAAATCTGATGGGTAGCTGCTGCTGAACTGGAGATGGTTCCCTCAAGCCAGCGACATGGTCATCTAACCACTGGTGCCACCTGGCCACTGGGCACATCTTGGCCAAAGTGTCCCCAGTGCAAGCGCGCAGTGATGTGCCGAAGTCCTGTTAAGCAGCCATGGCTCAGAACCACCTGGGAGCGGTCAGCAGCTTGGCAAACAGGATCTCCACTGCGACAGCATTCCGAAACTACTTACCCTCTGGTAAACTAACACAACTATGGAAAATCACCATTTTTAATGGGAATATCAACTATAAATGGCCATTTTCAATAGCTATGTTAGTTTACCAGAGGGTACTTTCTGAAACGCTTCTCAGGCAATCTTCGTCCGTCCCATCACGATACAATTGTCCCTGCGGCCAAGCAACATACTCTCGTGCCTTAGTGCCCCACAAAGCTTCCGGGAAAAAAATCTGAGTGGACACACCAGCTATGCCCTGCCACCAAGACACGACCTGCCCTGCAGCAACTTGAAGCTGCAAGTCCTGAGCAAAGAAGTTTCAGAGCCAATGGCTCTTTCTTCAGCCAACTCTTCACGGTTAATTTTAAGCAGGTTTGATACAAATATGGCTACCCCAAACCATTGGTTTTCCCATTGATAATCACTCATTTTGGAAGATTTTGGATGATTTTGGGGTAACCCATTCTAGGAAACCTCCATCTGGCCAATGTGACCCGCCAAGCCCTGCACGTAATAAGCTTCGTGGGTCTTTGCCACCAGGATCAGTCCCGAGGTGGGCACATCCTGGGCACATTGCCACGCAAAAATGGCGGAACAAAATTTCCAGAGATCTATGGTCTATGGTCAAAGAAGAATGGCAGGAAGAGGCCGTCTGGTCAAGGCTGGTCAGAAGGATCATGGGAGATGAGGTGCTGGCCAATCGATGCAGGAAACCTCGCTGGTGCTCCACCTGTCCCAAGGAATTGAGCGTGCGTACTGAATGGTACTGGTGATCGTGCAGCTATCACCATCATCATCACCACCACCATAACCCCATCACAATCATCACCATCACCTTGGCCACGCGCTATTACCCCATTGCCATCCTTGCCATTATTGCGCCTCTTTGAAGATTGGGCATGACAGCCTGGCACTTAGGAACTGCGAGAGCCTGGGAGCTCAGTCGATGTCACAGGGTGGCCGCCTACCCAAAAAAGGAAGGGGGAATGGCCGAAAAGTGGACATTGGAGGTCCCATTTGAAGGCCATCTAAGTTAAGGTAGAATTCTGAGCCCATCCAAGAACGACATCCGGTAAGAATAGGCAGGCACGAATTGCCAATTCATTCAATTCATTCCAAGACCGACAACCCTGATGTTTATGCTATGGCTTGAAATTGAAATGTGAAAATGCCAAAGTGCCGTAAGCGGCGCCTCGCACGAGGTGTCCCGTGAGCTGTCTCTGGCTCGTCTTGTCCGTCGTCCACCTGACGGGAACCCAAATCAGAAATCAGGCCACAAACAGCACATCTGAGGGAGGCGTGTCGGTCTGTAAGGTCAGGCAACATATGAATAGATAGACAGACAAATAGATAGACAGACAGATAGATAGATAGATGGATGGATAGGATAGGATAGATTCGATAGATTCGATAGATTCGATACATAAGTTTGATTAGATTAGATTAGATTAGGTTAGATTAGCTTAGATTAGATTAGATTAGACTAGATTAGACTAGATTAGACTAGATTAGACTAGATAGACTAGATAGACTAGATAGACTAGATAGACTAGATAGACTAGATAGACTAGATAGACTAGATAGATTAGATAGGTTGTATAAATTAGATAGATTAAATAGATTAGATAGATTAGATAGATTAGATTAGATTAGATTAGGATTAGGATTAGGATTAAGATTTAGATTTAGATTTAGATTAGATTCGATTCGATTGGATTAGATTAGATTAGGTTAGATTAGTTAGGTTAGGTTAGGTTAGGTTAGGTTAGATTAGGTTAGGTTAGATTAGATTAGATTAGATAGATTAGATAAATAAGATAAGATAAGATAAGATAAGTTAGATTAGAAAAGATAAAATAGATAAGATAGATAAGATAGATAAGATTAGATAAGATTAGATAAGATTAGATAAGATTGGATAAGATTAGATAAGATTAGATCAGATTAGATAAGATCAGATAAGATCAGATAAGATTAGATAAGATTAGATAAGATTAGGTAAGATTAGGTAAGATTAGGTAAGATTAGGTAAGATTAGATAAGATTAGATAAGATTGGATAAGATTAGATAAGATTAGGTAAGATTAGGTAAGATTAGGTAAGATTAGGTAAGATTAGATAAGATTAGATAAGATTAGATAAGATTAGATAAGATTAGATAAGATGAGACAAGATCAGACAAGATTAGATAAGATAAGATTAGATCAGATAAGATAAGATAAGATTAGATTAGATAAGATAGATAGATAGATAGATAGACACACATATATATATATATATCGTCTTATCTTATCTTACCTATCTATTTATCATACATATCCTTTTATAGAGAGAGAGAGAGGAAGGTGTTGAGTGTCACTGAGTCTTCCCCCACCCAACCGGCAGCTGGCACATTTTTCACTGGCACGACCCTTTAAGGCCTCCAGTACTATCACTGTACATCGAGGCCCGTAGGCGCCCTAAAGGAGACCTGTCCCTCCAGTCCCTGTACTAAAGCACCAAACAAAAAATGTTTGGAATGCAGCAATTGAAAGGACCATTCTGTTTCTGTTGTGCTCTTGCTCTCTTATCATCTCTTATCTGTATCTTTCTTCAAGTCGGAACTGCGGTTTCTACCGCTGGTTGGGTGATGTTCCTCCGACACTTACCAGCTTGTGCTCCTCGGTTCAAGGACCAGACCCGACCCGCACAGGAGCTGAGCAGGAGAATGGTGGCTTCCCAGGCCCAGACTGCCACACCAGCTACACTCCTCTCCGCAAAGCCCAGCCAAAGCCTTTCACCTGGCACTGGCAATGTCTTCATATCCCAAAGTAGGACTTGCAACTCGCGACTCAAGGAAAACGGCGTTTGAAGATTCCGTTGGCCCCTTGACTTGAAAGGATCTTGTATTATCTTGTATTCAAAGTCTAGAGTGTCTTGGGCTCCGCTTTTTCATCAAGATGCACATGATTCCCCGGTCATGTCATCTGTGGGATCATCTGTTCCGCCACCCGACGTGTTGAGGCCGAGATCCCGTTATAGCCCCATGATCTACAGCGTTTCATAGGAATTTCAATAGTTGGCAACTGGTGCAGGATTTTTTCCATCCACGGTATTAACAGCCAAACGGCAAACATCTTCACACAAGAAATGCTTGGTCGATGGTTTCCATCATGGCCTTACCGCGTTCGCGGGTGTTCGGTGTGTTGCCGGAGCAAGTGGAAGGCAATGTAGCGCCTCAAAGTCCAAACTACCAGCTGGGATTGCAAGTACCCTCCGGTAATCCAAACAGGTTGCTACGGAAAACCACCATTTGCCATAGGAAAATCGGAAAACCACCGTTTGTCATACGTATGTATATACAGTAAATCATCTACAAATTGGTCATTTTCCAAGCCCATGTTTACCAGAGGGGGAATTTTGCCAACTACATCTGAGTCCGGACGACATGAAATGACCTTGGGTTGGTACATGTAACATGCGTGCAAGACACTTCAGCCCAATCCTTTTCCAGCAAGGGTATCAGCAATGCTCTGAAAGGGCAAGCATCCCATCTCATCATCGGCACTACAATGATTTCCACCCATACTGAGGGAGCTTGGCACAAATACCCAGAAAACCCTATGGATTGATCATCAGTTTCCCGTATTTGTGCCATATTTGAATATATTCTCCATATTTTCCCACAGTTTCCCCACGCGAATTGCCATGAAAATAGTTGGTAAATCAGTAAATCCCAGTGTTTCCACATGAAGAGCTGGGTGCCCCACTGCCGCTCCTGCGCTATCTCCGCACGAAGTTGGTCCAACGGCACCTAACTCCAGCGACCCCAGGGTGGGCACATGACGTTGGCATCACCTAAAACTGGTCCAGAAATGATCCAGCAAAACGGTCGAAAAATTGTCCAAATAGGTCCAATTGCAGTTGAAATTCACGTGAAATCCAATGCAAGTGCTCTGGAATTCAACCCACCCAGCTGAAGCGGTCTTTTAACTGCCGAGTGGAACACCAACTCACGTTCAACCATGTCTCTCTCCACTTTCTTTCGATCATTTTCTCCCTGCCTCCCGCAAGCCCATACCAGCAGGACCCCGATCTGGTGGCAAAGGAGATGATTCTGCCAGCTCGATCTGTGCCTGCGGCAAGCTCCCAACAGTGACCTTTGCAAAATGGGCTACATCTGTTCCATTACACAACCATAGTTCAACTTTTTCCCCAACAAATAGTAGATACTAGAGACATCTCCAAGAAAATGCTCGAAAAAACTGGCCTGGTCTCCGTGTTGCTTCATCCCAGTGGTTTATACTTCGCAACTGGACATTGCCCCTCCATAGTTTCGGCCTCCACCCTTGGCTGAATTGGTCACTGTACATCCCATTACTACTATACCCCAATTACATGATATCCTACTATAGCCCATGATTATCATGTAATTTTATAGCAATCCAATTATCATTCTCATCCCATCATCATTATCATCCCATCATCTCATTACTAGCAATGTGCTTAAACAATTTTCTAGATCCCCAAAATCACCATTTTTCTAGGTGCTATCAACCATCCAAAATGGCTTTGCTTAACAATTGTTCACCCAAATGCTTAACCATGCTTAATGTGGTTAAGACAATAATGGTTACCCTCTGGTAATTTAACATAGCTATTGAAAATGGCCATTTATAGTGGATTTACCCATTGAAACTGGTGATTTTCCATAGCTATGTTAGTTTACCAGAGGGTAACCATTATTGTTTTACCCACATACCCGTAAAAACCACAGCCCATCTCCCACCTCGCTGAGGATCCCCAAGGGTCGCCGTTCTTCCACCGCGCCGTTGGTCGCACCGGGCGGGCGACGCCGCGCCAGGCTCGCCAGGCTGGCCACCTGGTCGTTCTTGGAGACCGCCTGTAGCTGTGAGATGGTCAGAAAAGCCTCGGAAAATGGGACTTCTCACCACGAAAAACATGGAAAACCATGGGAAAATGAGGGTTTAATATGGTTTGACTCACATACCCATCATTTAACAATGAACAAACATTGAGAAATAGTTTTTTTTCACTGACGTAACTCCATTGAAGGCGATCATCGTGGGAGAATCAGGGATAATACAACCATCAACTGTATGGATTACCCTCTGGTAATTTAACATAGCTATTGAAAATCACCATTTTTAATGGGAAAATCCACTATTAATGGTGATTTTCAATAGCTATGTTAAATTACCAGAGGGTATAATCGGGGAAATGGGAATTGTTCATCAACAGTAGTATAACCATAGGATGAATGAGGCCCCAGGTAGTCATCATAATATCGGCGGTCCTTATACATAATGGGTATACATTCACCCTCGTTGAAAATGGATTACGAAGAATCCCCTGGTATAGACAGTTTACCCTAGTTTTGGCCATGGCACACATAAATTTGTTCAAGGTGGATTTACCATGATTTACCCCGATATCTGGCTAGTTTAGTGAGGAAAATTATGGTTAAACTCGGTTCACCACTGGATTTTGGAGCACCCTGGAGTACAGTTCAATGATCAAGGAAATGTTGCAAATTGAAAAGCTCTCACTGAAGTCTTCCTTTACATTGGCATCCACCAAAGAAGTTGGAGATCCCGCAACGCCTCAGTGACGCAAATGAGCAACTCCATAAAGAAGTTCAAACGCCCTTGCAACTCCGTGAGTGCCTCTGCGGCACGGTGACAAGTTCAAACGCCAACGGGTGTGTGTCTGAAAACGGTTTTTGCTCCTCAAGATGGCCATGTAAATGGGAAAATGGATGATGAACCAATGCATAAGGAGGGGTTTTAACCATAATTTCAACTCAAATGGGTCACTCATTTAGGGTTTTTCAGACAAACCAACCAAAAGTGGATGGTCACCTTTATAAAATGATTCAAGTCATATATATATATATTATAGTCATATTATGACTCACCAGTGGATTATGGTTGGTGTATTCCCGTTATATACCCATGGATTTTTACCCAACCCTGCCACCAAAGAACACCATGGGTCCTGGCCTTTAACTCAGGAGCCAAACCTTGCGCGAGCCGCGTCTCCTGCAAGCGTTCCAAAGCGGTGGCCTCTTCCTGACCCCGAAGACGCGATGGCAGATGCTGTGGTTGGAATGGAAAAATTGGCGGAAAACCATGGGTTTCTACCCCAAAAAAATGAGGCTTTCATGGGGCGTCCTGCAGATTGAAACCCAATTCTGGGACAAGTTTTAGTGTCTCCACTCTGCTTTGCCTGTGGATTAGAAAACCTCTTCATCGCCACTCCCCGCCTTCATCGCTTCCAGTTGCTCTTCCAGGGTCGCAGGGGCATAACCTCAGCAGCCAGGCGTCTCACGGATAGCATCCGTCCAGGACGAGGTGATCCCCTCCGTAACCGCCTCTTGTGCCCAGCAACGCTTGTTGATGCGCGGGTCGCCAATCTCGAACTTCACAGCCTGTGGAGACTGCACGAGGAAACAACACTTGCAGTTCACCATTGAAAAGTACCGTGTGACAACATTGTAGCAGGTAGATCACTGGTTTTTTGTATTGGATTTACCACATAGGTCCCACTTCATAGCAAAAAATAAAGTGCTGTCCGCATGGGCTCGTTGTTTCAAACCCCATGTTTGACAAATAAATCCCATCTGGTAACTGAACATGGCTGCCCGAAGCTGAACACCCAACATGCGGGATAATCATCTCATGGGTGATTTTCCAATGCCAAGTTAAACAAGTCGGAGAAATTCCACTCAAATCTCAAAACCAGATTATAAAAACCCACACCTTCCACTTGAATCCCCTTTCAAGTCACCCTGGAAAATCCCAAAAATCCCATGGGAAATCACCCTAAAATCACCTGTTTCCCCTGAAGTCACCTGGAAAATCCCATGGCGTTCCAGTGGCGTTCCGCTCCCAGTCACCTCCTGGGTGATCTCATCCAGCTGTCGATGGATCTGTTGCCCCGAGCTCTGTAGCCGTGACACCCCGCAGCGCATGCGACTGCGTTCCCCCACCTTCCTCGGACGTGGACGGTGGACGGGAACCCCCCCCGTGTTATTTAACAGTTCGAAGCCATGGTCCATTGCCCATTGATCATTGATTTACCTCTTAAAATAGGGATGTTGTATAGATATATATGCTCTCAGAGGGTAGCCATCACTTGCTGATGCTAAACGTAATTTGAGAATGATTCAATCCATAACTCATAATCATCCCATTCCCCCATCCATTCCCTACGTTTAGCACCAGAAAATGCAGGGCTGAACCATCCCAAAATTGGCTCCTTTCATGGTTCAACCATCCTGAAATGGCCATTAGGAATTGTCCAAAATGGTGTTAAACTCCCGAGCAAAAACTCGCAAAAATTGGGGTTGAACCACCAGAAATGATGGTTTAAGTTGGCTCAAGCATTCTGAAACTGAAATGGGGATGCATATAATCAATCCATTAGCGTATATGTGTATATATATATATAATTATATATATATTATATATATATATATATCCCAAAAAAAAATATGGTACAACACAAACCTTAATGAGGATATAATGGGGTGTATAACTGTTTTTTCCGCGTTTACAGCAATCATCATGCTCCTGGCCCATTCCTGGAGAGCACCTTTTCAAGTAGTGTGCCCAAGGGTCAAGGAGGATTCCACAGCCAGCAACATCTTCTCGGCCATCAAAATGCCTTGGGCCAGAAGGTTCTGACCATCAAAGGGTGCGGGTGCTTCCAACTCAAACAAGATGTCATGTGGGTTTGTCTGAGAATAGCGTACCCCTCAACCCAATGGTTCATCGTACATGTCCCCTATTAAATGGCTATAATTGGGGGTATACCATTTCCAGACGTACCAATTAGTCACGTCAGAAACGTTTCCTCAACATGGCCCAGCTACGAGAGTGCAAGTAGTACAAATGCATTTGCGCCTCTTGAAGTCTTTGCTTCACAATCTGGCCACGGGAATCACCAAGTGGGGTCAGTGAGCTAAGATGCAACACAGCCGCACACAGACTGTGATGGACTAAACAGGGCGCAGCTCTGCGCCGAAGTGCTCGGTCATGTCTGAAACTATCCAATTCAATAGTTTTCTACGGTGTGAACGCCAGAGACATATGGTGGAAACTCTATTGATTCCAACCATGAACCTCTATCTATCCATTCACAGATCACATGGTGCTTTATTACCAGATGGTAGCTGTTCTGTTTGATAGATTATTGACTATGACTATGACAATAAACCATACTATTCCCATAGAATATGGTAAAAAAAATAAAAAAAACAACCCGTCCCAATATCAGTCACACCCCCGTCCCGATGCATCCCGTCCCCATCCACCATGGCTTCATGGCTCCGACCTGGCGATCCCGGCGGTCCAAGCACTCGAAGCCCGTGCGCAAGGTGTTGATCTCCTCAGCGAAGACCTGGCTTGGCGACCGGGGTTCCCGGGGACCGGGAACCGGGGAGGGTTGGTGGTTTGTTGGTTTTTTATGGTTTTTTGGCACCCAAACATGCCGATGACTTGGGGTTGGGGATGGGGCATTGGCTTGCCCTCAGGTGCAGGGTACAGGATCCTTACCGCAAGTGTACGAATCGCATGTCCGACGATCATCGTGGCCAAGCTGGACATATTTCATTCAAGTTCAATTCTTGGACCCTTTGGGTACGCATCTCAATGTAGATGAACTGAAGGATGGGCTCTCATCAACCTGCTAAAGTAGCTTTTGGTTGATGAGTGGCAGGCGACTTGAAAGGGTCACCAGCGAAGTGCAAAGAAATATAATTATATATAATTATATATGTATATACACATGTGGTAAGCTATTATCATTGTCCATTGTCATTCCCCACGATCATCATACTTCACGAATACTATTACTTTTCCTACTAATGTGGCACACCCATGAGCAGATCTACCATTGGGGGATGATGTTTGCGACCCATTCATGACAAAATTGTGGGCTCAAGGTAGCTAGTAAGTGGTTAGCTCACCACTGTTAATTCAGTAGGGTAAGTGGGGGCGAAGGTAAGTGGTGGCGATGTCCAGTTATCACTGGCGTGAACCTACCCACTTACTAAGTAGGGTAAGCCACAAAGTAGTCGCTGGGGAGGTACTCATCCCAAATATGGTCGGAATAAGAGTGAGTAACAAGCAACAGCAAGAAAGCAAGGGCCTGATCGCTTCATGTTTCTTTTTACTCTGTTTGTCGTATGGATTTCGGCAACCGGACCGAACCCGGCTTCCACGGATTTACGCTGAAATGATGCCTCTTGTGGCATGTTACTGTACCTCCATAGGGACCTGGGGACCACTGAGTCAGTGGTTTCAAGGTCAAACATATGTATGCACACAGACGGCCACGTTCGTATATTTAGACGTGCATTGTTGTTCAAGCCTAGGAATGGATAGAATTTGATAGAATCGAAACGGGATTATCATCCCAACTGACAAGCGTGCATAGACATTTACACATGCATATGGTGCAACTGGTCTGCAGTCTGCAGGAATCGAACCGCACAAATTCACAGCAAGCTCATGCTTCCTCATAGTAAATTAGTAAATGCCTTCCACTCATTCCAGTCAGGGTCCATTCACAGCATTGAAGAGTATTGAGGCGGGCTCCTGTAATGTAAACCAACAAAGCTAGATCATGTTCCCACGGAAACCAGTGGGTTTTCCGCATCTATTTCTTCAAACCCCAGGGTACAGGGCACCACTCCAGAAAGGACTAACAGTGGTGGGTCTTCCATTCAAGCTCAGCTTAAGGCTTTTCTGGGCTGGACATGTGACAAGTCATGGAGTACAGTTTGTAAAAGTGTCTATTGTGACTCAACCAGCTGGAGACTCATCCTCCCTTAGAAGCCCTGGATTCTTGCACCAAGCCATGAACCCAGCGAAATTCCCACCTCCAATTTTGAATCCAAGTCCATCATGAAGAGGGACACCTGGCACCCAGTACGGGGAACGTGGCGCTGTTGCTACTACAAAGAGCCAAAGTTTGACCCTTTCTCCCATGCTCTGGGAATCAAATCCTGAAAATCCTATGGTCGATCATCGTTTTCATTCATTTTCCCCATGAAACGGCCCAATAACTGGATGCAAATCCCCGATCTTTTTAGGGAGACAAAGCGTGACTCACTTCCCGCCTGCTCAGGTGGCGGTGGAAGTTTCCCCACGAACCGCCCCAGTATATCATGCAGCTGCCGGGACAGCTGCTGAGCATTCGATTGTAGGCGATGCAGCGTCCTGAGACAACGAGCGCCCGAGAGAAAGTATTGATTTTTTGGGGGAAACAACTAACAATGACAATGTGTGCATTACCCTCTCGTAAACTAACATAGCTATGGAAAATCACCATTTTTAATGGGAAAACTCACTATTTCTACGGCCATTTTCCATAGTTATGTAACAAATTACCAGAGGGTAACCATGAGTAGCGAGTTTCATGTCCAAAACTGGTGGAAGTAGGCCACTCTTGACGTAATTTTGGAGTCACCATACCTCCATCGCCAAGGCGCAGAAAGCCTGAGCCTCCCTTGATGTTCTTGGGTGGCACGATAGGCCGCGCGGCACAACCCTTGAAGTGGAGCCGAAGCGATCCCAGCCTGGTGCATGAGATTTCTTGAGCCACCTACCTTCGATTTGCAGCTTTCACTCAACAGACCTGGCTAGTGACTCCACCTAATCCGACCAATCAAATTAAACCAATGACTTAAATGTGTCAAATGAGCAATGTTCGAAAACCTCTGCCGTCCCTTTACACTGGTTGGTTACGTTGGTCAATAAGATTTCCCAGAGTGGGTTGTGATCATCCCGAGAAAAAAAAAAAAGGTAGTATTGCCCCCTACAAGGGGGTTTTGAACACTGCTCAAATAACTTCATCGAATCGAACTGAAATCTGGTGCAACTTCGCCCAGTCACTGCATGGTCTGCTTGCAATGCTTGCATTCCACCAGTCCTCAGGTCGCACGGATCCACCTTGGGATGTTTGTTTCAGGGGGTTGACCACATTTTTGTGGCTCAAACAGCGAAAAAGCTTTGGGTCATAGATTTTGGTCCTTCAAAGCCTGTTTCCACCGCACCAGTGGTTGGGCATGCGATGGCACTTTAACACAATCCAACCTTTCTAACGCATCTTGCACCCACAAATCCGAGACCGTTCACCGGCATTGAAATTGAAATGAACAATTCATTGAGTCAATAGAGCGAAATTCGACCCATTGTATACAATCTTGTACCCCGAGCGCCCACTGGAAGACATCAACCCATCCAAGGGCAGCTATGTTGCAGCTCCATTCATGATGGACATATCAACCATTTTTTGAACATAGATAGAATATCAGAATACAGAATATCTATTCATATTTCAAGCGTCATCATCAGAGTGTGTATTTATCATGTATTTATCTACGTTTATTTATCTGCTCACTGTTTTTTCATAGAAAGATTGTTGTTGTTGTTGTTGTCGTTGTTGTTGTTCGTATACCACGGTATCCACACCTTTCGGGACTGCGACCGGAAACGGCTTCATCGGAGCGAAGGCTCGGAGCTTGCACTGCTTCGGATGCGTTGGCGGCTCCAACTCCCCACACCACTCACAGATGATGGGTTCGCGCAGCGCCCGCTTGCTGCCTCCGCCTGCCCGATGCCGGTGCCCGATGGTGCCCGCGCGATGATGCATCTGATATGTTCTGACTTTAAGCTTCGAGGTCCTGTAGACCCTGTGCATCAAGCAGTATATAGGTTTGCTTTTTTGCATCTCTACCAACCACTTCATGCACCTTCAAATACCTCCGGGATTGCAAGCATCCGATACCCAGCCTACGCTCGATGCGTGTCTTAACATCATCGGCCTGCAGAGTCGGCCGAGCCACTTTGGTGCTAAAGCCCACGGTTGACCCATTGGATCCGAATCTTAGAGGCATGAAGCTAACATAAGCTAACCATATGGACCATATGTATATGTGTGTGCTGCGGGCCAAATCCTCCAATTTGCATGCCGCTGATATAATGATCACATAACAAGGCCTGGAATCACCATTCCAACAAATAAACTTTGGGGCACCCAGAAGCGTGCAAAAACCCATACGCTCAATCCAACAACGCTGATTGAGCCATGTGGCTGTTCCTCTGACTCGGGCGGAATGATCCTTGGATGGGCCACGTTTACAGAGTCTGCGCTGGTTTAAGCTTACAGAAATTCACCCCAGTTAGTGGCAAATAGAACACACCTACAGACCTACAGCTCTAGCTTGTTCTTAGCCGAATGTAATTTTGGCAGCTTCAACTTCCTTGTCATTGTCCACAGACTGGTCAAAGTAAATAATTACTGCAGATTTGAAATGGCAAAGGCCGCTATCAATGCCTAGGCATCTAGTTTCATCATGGATTCTCCGCAGCACGACTGTTTTCCGGCGCAGGATCCCATCGTTCATCGGTGAAACAGCCACGCCATCGTCCGGCGCGGCCCTCGCCCCTCAGCCTCCAAGCTTGGGCACGTCCAGCTCATAGCCGTGCTTTCTGAAGGCATAGCGATGCTTCCTGGGAGCCGGAGTCCACGCCGATGCTAATGCCCGCCGGTAAAGGGTCAGAAAAAATAACCACATATATAGCCAAATAAAATCAAATAAAGCACTCCCGTAAGAACTGTTTGAGTTGGTTCCAACCCCACAAGAGTTTGCTTTAAAAAGGGGAACTGGCTGGAACTGACGCATGCTCCATGATATGCCGAGCTTCTCACGCCTCTCCCACTTCTTCTTGTAATCGATAGGGATCATCTGGCGAGGCCAATTCTGTTTCACTATGCTGTTGCCACCAAAGGGGCCTCGACCTTGTCCACTGATGTAGTTTGCTTTTGGCGGATCATATTCCAACCACCACTTCTCCTGTGATGTTCCCGAGTAGTTCATCGTGTGTCAGAATGTCTGCCTGTCCCAAAATGATACAGTCAACACCACTCCATCACATCAAGAAAATAGTAGACTTAGTAGACTGTGAACACAAGTATGAACTCATGACAGGTGACATCTAGATTCGACTCACTGTAGCTGTCTTTTTCCCCATGCCCCCGTCCCATTCCACGCGGCTTCTCCTCAAGGCCTTGCCACTTTCGGCGCTTGTTGGGAGGCCGGAAGAGCAGGGGACCTTGGTATGGAGCATCGCCGATCTGCTCTGTCACCTGCAGGGATGCAAAACCCCAAGTCAAGTCCCAAACCTTAGTAGTTTCACCGTGCAAAAAGAAAACTATACATTATAAACATAAATATATAATATAAGTTCTCTCAACTACGTCCTGGCCAATAAAAACATGCTACAGAGAAGACCAGAGAAAATGAAGATAATTCCATTTTTCATGATTCTTCCAAGATGTTCCAAGTTTCAATCAGTTTCTGTTCCCAGTCACCTGTGGATCTCCTTGCACCGGCACTGGCGCCTCGATCAACACCGGTGCTGTGCCAGCCGGGGCCTCCAGGGGTGCTCGGGGCAGCCAGCGCCCAGCGGTGGCCATGCGCAGCCACGGCCAAGGCGAGCTGCGGCAAGTCAACGCCATGGCGGCCATGGCGCGTGGTGCCACGGATTGCCACGGGAAAGCCGGAAGAAAAACGATGAAAAACCGTGGCAAAATGCCACTTTTGATCTCGAAAAGATCTAAAAACGATTGAAAACTGGTTTTAAAACTGGTTTGAAATGATTATGGCCATTATGGCTAGCTGAAATTCAAAAATAACAAATCACAGTTTCTGCTGCTCGATGAATGGAATGATGAGCCCATGAGGCAAACACATGCGATGGACCGAACGGGGATAATCAGGACAACCACCAGACAAGACACCACAAAACTCTAAACCCAGGTTGCTGCATCAGCTTTGGACAAGGAGCTGCGATGCCACCATTTCGCACATTTTGATCCTTTGTACACTAGCCATCACTAGCCACCTTCTTGCTAAATCCACGGCTGCCACGCGGCTCAGAGTTCAAATGTTGTCCATGGTTTCCTTCCTGTCTTTCCAGCTCTTGGTGTCAACCATCTCAAGCTGGCAGTCCTTGTGTGCATCCACCTTCACAGTTTCCACCCTCAAAGTAGTCCAGCTAGTCGCTTTGCTGTCCAGCAGCTCATGGCTTGGGCGAGCTCAAACATCGGGTTTTCCAACGCTTTGGAGGATGCCCTGCAAACAGAACTCTGCCTTGCGACTGTGGGGAGTGCTGGGTGACTGGAAAAACGATTCTATCCAATCTATCCGTACGGAAAACATCAATGTTACATCCACGCATGTATCCATATATAATACTATGCAAATACATACACATATCTTGTGCGCACGAGCAGTAGCTCTCGGATCTCTCAGGACTTGAATCTATTGCAGCAATGTGGATCGAAAATGTGCATAGGAATCGCATCAATACAGGCGTTCGGTCATTTGCACCTTTGGTCACAAAAATGAGGCCATGAGGCATTCTTCACACCAGAAGGCCTAGAGGTCTTGACTTCAAAAAGTGGAACATGACACTCTTTGCAGCAAACAAGCTGGCCATGGATCAGAACCCTGGCACCCTCCTGTTCACACCCCATCCCCCCAAAAAGAATGATGTAGATGTATGTTCATCCCAACAAAATATGGTGTTTCATAGGTCTTGATCCATCCTCAGCTGCTTGGTGGCATGACTTTACCATCCCAAAAGTTGGCCTTCTCCAGAGAACCCTTCCGCATGCACAGCCGAAACCAGCGCACGGGGCCGTTGGTGCGGCAGGGCACGACCTGCCACAGGAGTTGGCATGTGGCACCAAGAATTTCAGCCTTTCCCAGGGACATCTGGTAACTCATATTATATAGATTTGTATAGTAACTTACCTAGACCTATACTTACCTTAATATATCCTTAATCCTGGCATCATGGAACACCAAAACCACCACCAGCCCAGGCTTGGCAGGGCGCACCTGGCCATCTTGAATAGTCCCATGCTTCTCAGTCCAGACTTGAGAATCAAGCGTGCGATCCTGAAGCCGAACCCCTGGGATTGGAAGTGGAGTCGCTTCAATTTCCACGCTCCCGGACAAGATTTAGGAGGGAAGATTGTTGGAAGTCATTCAAAGTATCCCGCGTGCCGCGTGGTCGGCTCCTCCTTAAGCCACAGTGATAACCTGTTCCACCCGTGCAGCTGATGTGGCCAAGCATCCCAGGTAGTTCCATTTATCGACACAAACATCTCAAAGCGCAAGGCAGAATGTATCTGCCAAAGCCAGGTCACAGGGTCACAGCAACCCCTCGACGAAACCAGTGGGTCATTCATCGTCATTCCGATGCGATAGGATTTGCTGGGGATCAACAGGCCTACAGTTTGCTGGGAATCTGAGTTTATTTCTTCCCAATCTCACAGTTTCCCAAAATCCTTCGCCGATGTTCATCACACCTCCAAAGCCCTGGCCCTGAGTTCCTCACCCGAGTGGAGCTTCCAAAGGAGACACCCTCAAGATAAAGCTGAAAGTTGGGCAGCATCCATTCCAGCCAATCCTGAGCTTCCACGTGATTTCCACTTGATATCTTTGGTTTATCTCTCATCCAAGAAGGTCATGACCCAGAAAGGCTCTCTGGTCTTTTGCAGCTTTCGATCTGCACAATCCTATTGGAGCAGTCGTCAGCTAGGACAGCTGTTGCTCCACATACCAACTGTCGTATATCTTATTTGTTGATGGACCATCGCAGGGAGGGAAGAAGGCAAGTCTCATTCTCTGCCAACGATACGCTGCCCTCGTCATTGCGTCCAAGGCTTTCGAGTCTGAAGAGGGCGGCCGTAGGTCCTACGGAAAAATCAAGGCGGTCAAAGAAACCTCCGATTCATAGACTTTCTTGTGCCGCAGAGGTCTGTGAGGAGCCATAGACATGTTCCCCACAAGCTAAGCCTGATCAGCATGGTCCGCCTGTTACGCAAACTATGTACGCGTCATTACGCGTCTACATCATTGCGTGCTGATGACATAGACCACTTTGGAGACCATTGTTTTGGATGTTGTCAAGCATCTAATCCCCAGGTTATCCCAAGGGTGGGGTCTCGGAATCAGGAACCTTGAATTACCACGTCACATGTCTACCTGTATAGACTAGATAGTAAATACCTCGATAAATCGACCAAAAAATGGATCAAAAGGTGGACAAATAGATACAGTATATATATAGAATTATATAGATGGATAGTAAGGTGTGATGCCCTTATACATAGATTCTATAGATGGTCATATCATATAGAGCTCGGATCACCAGAGAATAGCCATGGTGCCCTCCCGAAGGTAAATGCTGCTGGAAGCGCTCCCATGGGTTGTACCTACCTCTACTCAATGAAGCTATATAAGGGCACTATCTCCTGAAAAAGGGAGGATATTGTTATAGCCTTGGTGATGTTTGGGGCCTGCATGCCCGTATCTTTTATACCCATATCTGTAAGTGTACGGGCATATTTCTAAATATACAAACAGATACATATACAGATACATATTTAAATATTTATATAATACATCTATCGTCATTGTGTCTATGTTCCTCTAAACAAGGATTTGTACTTGTAAATAGCACTTGGTCTGCTAAGGTTCCTCGATTCTGCACCCCAAAGCATCCCCACCAGTCAACCAAACGAATCCTGATGAAGAAGCGAAGGAGGGGCTGCCCGGGATAACGTTGACCTGGGTATTGGCAGGGAGCAGCCCCACCTTTCACGGAGGTTTCCATGCTGGCGAGGTGCCCAATATCCCAGGAAGGGTGGCCGCAACTCCCCATCAAACGCAGCTTCATAGCGTTCCCAAAGGCTGTACAAGGCATCGGTGGTGTGTTCACCACGCTTGCCTCAGGGCACGGAAAATTGGACACCGAAAACCAGACATATCTGGCCACACCATCCCAGACTAAGCTGCACTTCGGCAGAGACACTCAAAAAGCAGTACCGAAAAAATTGTTGAAATTGCAAAAGACACGTCCACAAAACATGTGCCTGGTTGGAGCAGGAATCATGTGGAGAACGCAAAGCAATCCCAAAACGTTTGCTGATGGTGCGTGTGCCCGATTATACTAAACGCATCTAAACGCTGCATGCCTGCTCCTGATTGGCCCTCAAAGAGGTTCTGTCCAAGGTCAAGCGTAGCAGGGATCCCCTGATCTTATGCATCCTTGATCTCTCATCCCTCCTACCCCTCATCGTCAGTGTGGCCAAGTGTGCCAAGCTGCACTTTTGACGACACTCTTGCAGAATGCTCCAGCAGTTCACTTCAGTGGCCAATGGCTGCAGCTTCATGAAGGGAGTGTCCTGGTCAGCCAAATGGGGGTAAATGATGGAGCTGAATTTCCATTTGTCGCTAAACCATAATTCTCAAACAGGGTGCTCACTGGCATTCTGGGGAAGCGTGGAACAGTGAAACCAAAGATGAAACGACATGGCCCCAACCAGCGGTTCCACGTTCAGCCTCCATGGCGGCGATCTCTCGCTGGATATAGGCTTTCTCCAAAATGCGCCGCACATCCACCGGGCTTTCACCCAGGCCCCAGTTCCTGATCCGAGCTTCCAAAGTGAAGTGATCCCAGCCAGCCAGTTGATTGGGGATTTGTTGAATTTGTTGGGGATCTAATGGAAGGAAGTGGGATACCATTGGGGCTATGAGATGAATCCCAGTAAGGTGAGAATTTTACAGCCCCATTCTTCCATCTTTCAACTGCGCTCAGCAGCTTCAGCTCAAGAGTCAGCACTATGGGCATCAACTCGCCCGGCTCCAAACAAAGTGCGCCAGAGTCCAAGATTTCATCCAGTAAACCATGGCCCAACACTTGCGCTGACTGCAGGGCTTCCTCATCGGAAGCAACGGCAACCGTGTGATGAATACGGTGCCAATCAAATCACAGGAAATGATGGGAATGCCCCAAAAATCGACAGAAACCATCAGCATCAGCCAGCTAAACTCTCAAACGATGACTCTGGAGCCACTACTTCTGCTGGTCGCTTCATGGTGCCCCAAAAATCCTCAGACCTCCGGGCCCATCCACACCGTCCTCAGGTTCACGCAGAATTTGATCAATCGCAATCTGCTTGGCAGCGGTTGCTCCATGGCGATCCGCAAACCTGGGTGTACCATCCAGTTTGGGAACTCCCAAATGGATAGAAAAGTTGGAAGCCCGTTTTAAACCTGGAAATTTATGGGGGAAACATATGGAAACATCATCTTTTTCACATGCTTCCAAAACTGCTGCATCTTTTTTGGCCTTTTTCCGGGGACTGCATTGGGACTTCATCCAAAAAGTACTGTGAGCGACTCAGCAAGGCACTCGCAAAGTCTGCAAGCATCCTTCGGGGTGATCTCAAAAGCTAGGAGCTTGCAAACCTCGGCGCTGAGTGAAGACGAGAAGAGATCTGCAAAAGAAGAATAGTAATCATCATAAATGACAGTCGTGAAAAAGATGGTGAAAATAATCAACGAAGGTAACAAATACAGTAATAGCCATAATTTCAACAACAAGATTGACATGCTGTCAAGAGCAAGCTTGGGATGAACCATGTGCTCGACTTTGATTCTTCAGTAGAGGATCGAGCATGGGGATGCCAAGTTCCCTGAACACTGTGAGAAACCCAAACAGTTTCTTTTTAGCCCAGTATCGGAACAATTCCCACATTTAATGTTGCACACGTGGATGGCAATATACAAATATGGTCTAATATGGATACAACAAGTGAGGAGTAGTTGAATGAATCCCATGCAGCTAAGATCTCAATGACTACGTTGCCGTGAAATGTGCAGGGAATGGTCACCTTTTCAGTTCAAGCAACGTTGTACCTGTGAGTGCCTGCCATTCTTGCTGCCTGAAGATGCCTGAAGCCTGGCAAGCCTCATCCTCGTCTCCCATCATCTCCCATCCAAGACGCCGCTTTTTGCAACTCATCCACTTGGTACTTGTCTGCCAGAAGGCCGACCTCAATCCTGAGGCCAAGAGGTCAGAAAAAAGTTTCTGGGGAACGGACCTCTGAAAATGTCCATGGGTCCAATAGGTCCACTCAGCTAAGAAGCAACGTCTCTCCATGTGCTTCCAGCCAACCCGAGTAAAGAAACCTCAGCATCCCAAGGGCTGAGCGGAATACCGCGGCTTGAATTTCCACGGTTTTGTTTCCAGGGATCACCAGCCGAACACGCAGATTGAAGCATATCTTGTTTTCTCACTTCTCCATCATAGGGTCAATCAGAGTCAAAGAGATGTTTTTCCACCAAGCATGGGATATCAATCTGCAAGGGCGTGCCACGAGTGCTTACAGGTCCCATCCTGATCTGCCCAGAAGCTTCAAGAAGAATTCCACTGCCGGTGCTGAAAATTCCTTGATCACCTGGCACGCCATGATATCAGGGGTACCAGCAGTTGTCACAAGGCGCCGTTCCTGAAAACAGTTGTGATGGGCTGCATCAGTTGGCATGAACGGTTCCATGCACTTGCACAAATGATACTTCCTAGTGCACATCCTCGACTGGCACGGCTTGCCAAGTTGCAATCTTGGACATTTGCTGTTCCTGGAAGCCGTGTTCCGGATTCAGCATGGCCTTGAACACCTCCTCAATGCAGCGCGAGCTGTTGGTGCAACACACTTTGGTCCAAAAAGTAATACCAGAGTAGAGTTCTCAGGGGCTCATCTGACTCACCTGCATATACAGCCCAGGCTTGTCTCCTGTAATTTGTTTGGAGATTAACGCGGCTCGACTGGACTGGTGGGGGTCAACAAGGAACGTGGCAACTCAAGATGGTTGCATCTGGTTTGTGCCCTGATTCCCCGAAGACAGAGTTTTCACCAATTCACTGCTTGAGTTTGCAACCAAATTCTGAGTAGAGTTTTTGGCAGTTAAGTCAGCTTGCAGTCCTGTATGATTAGGTAAGTCCAGGTAAGTGATGATGTCGAGTTCATGGCAGAGGTAAGTAACCTTCCAAGTTCACAGGGCCTTTCTCTGCTGTTGAGACTCAAGTTAATTACTAAGAAAGCCACCCCGTACATTGCCAAGGCCAAGCGATGCCAAGCATCCGACCATTCTGCCAACAGGCACGACCACACCTTGAAGTCTCGCTGTGCCCCATCGGCTTCGACTGAGATCGTGAGGTCTCCACCCTTTCCGAAGCATTGCCGGAAGACACGAGCAGCATCCTCCTGGAAGCACGCACCAATCCGAACGACTTGACAGTCAGAAAGTTTAGCTGCTTGAACAGCACGGTTCCCACAAAAAATGGATCGATACACAGAGAGAGACAGAGAGACAGAGAGACAGAGAGACAGAGAGAGAGAGAGAGATAGAGAGATAGAGAGAGAGAGATAGAGAGAGAGAGATGATAGAGAGAGAGAGAGATATATATTATATATATATATATATATGTATTATATTATATCATATCATATTATATTATATTATAAAATATGATATGATATGATATGATATAACATAATATAAAATAATATAACATAAGATAATATAATATAATAAAAAGATAATATAACATAATATAATATAATACAATATAATATAATATAATATTATATTATATTATATAATATAATATAATATAATGTAATATAATATAATAATAATGTGTATATATATATATGCATACATACCCCTTTGAACATTGAATTGACAAACCGCACCCATAAAAAGGAGTAATGCAAGGCTGAGACTCCACATTTTGATGCATCAATGGTTGCATTGCAGCCGCACACTGCACCACATTCGCAGGCACCCGCCGAGGGGCAGTGGTTTCAAAACCATAGGCGCTGCTTTCAAAAAGTACAACAAGTTGGCTTGGATCGATAAAGGGTGAGTTTTTTGAGCCACAAGCCGCATATGATCCAGGAAAATATTCTTGCGTTTCTGGCATGTGCCTCTGGCGAAACTTCCTTGCAACCCATTAGGGAAACCCCCATGTGTCTAATAGTCTTCATCATACAAGTCTTTCAGCTGCGATTGGTTTGGATTTGCAATGAACCAAGCGAACCTATTGAGCAGCCTTTCAGGGACGAAAAAACATTATATAAGTACAAAACTTCTAGAGCCAAAGTTGGGATTTCTTGAGTGGGTTTTGTTGCAAGAAAAAGGAAACATACAAAATACCATGACGGCAGTTGCACAACATCCCCAGAAGCTATAATTGGGAAGTTGCACAAACTCTGCAATTGTTACTTTGGTGCCCCTGCCCGAAAACAGGTGATGTTCAATCATCGTTTCCCCAAAATCATCCAAACATGAAAAAAATCATGGTGTCTCCCGTGTTTTCTTGGCATCTAAAAAAAGGCATCCCCAATTTTCCAGCCCCATGGCCCCATCTGCATCCTAGCATCAGTTTGGGCGTGGGCCTCGCCACCTTGCGCCGGGGCGCAGGCGGGACTCTTGGACGCCGCGGCAGCGGAGCCGTATGAGGCTTCGACTGTCCTGGCAACCCCCAAAACATGAGGAAAGTTCCGGCAAAAATGACCATCTGGTGATTTGTTACATAGCCATGGTTAAAATCACCATGCTATTAGTAGGTGAACCATCTATTTCGATTAGGGCCATGGCTTCCATGGCTATGTTAGTAATAACCAAAGGGTAAGTTTTTGGGGGTCGCAAAACCGCCAAATTCCAGTAGTCCGGACAATCTTGTGTCTTTGGCATTAAATATATATGTGTGATATGGGACCTCAATTCGTGAAAAATCCTAAACCAGAATTTCGGGCAGGATCCAGTATCAACATCAGGAAGAAGGACCATGATAATCATTTTACTTACCAACCAGGATTATAGTCATTATCAATAATATCAGGACTATATATTATCAACCAGGAAAAAAGTAATACTTACTTCGTTGATAATCATTGTCCCATTCAACGTGGCAGTTGATGCTATCTCCAAAATGCCAAGCAGTACATCCATTGCCAAGGCTCCAATTTTGATCCGTTGCCACCGCTCACGATCCTTTGGCCCGACGTTGGGCATCTTGCCGAACTTGCAGACGCCGAACTTCATCTGCTCCGCAGACTCAGCCTCAGGAGTTCGGTACCGGCAAAAACAGAGCAGGTTTTAGTCTGCTCTACATGCAGTTTAAATAAGGATGTGATAGATATGTGATATAGGTTAGGTCTTGAGATGTAGGTATAGATGTGGATACATAACGATATACACATATGGATATACATATGGAGATAGGTGTATATATATAGATATGTGCATGTAAATATGAAGAAACAGCCAGCGTCAAACATGCGTTTCTTCTTCTTATGGCCAAACTTTGGCCCCACCAAGCTGCAACAAGTGTCCAGTCTTGCGCAGCGACGTGTGGCAAACGCGGTGCGGCATGGACCTGGCACATCAACTGGTGGCGACTGGAGGTTTGATGTTTAGGAAAGGATTGGCAAACCCTTATGGTTAGTAGATGGTTAATGAGTATAATAACTACAAAAGATATCAAAGTGGTTGCTGATGGTTAAGATTCGCCCTTGATATATAAGCCCAAACAGTACTGGGGTCACCAACCGCTATGCCAACTGTTGTACCTTACATCTGGAGGAATTATAATTGCTCATCATTCACCAACCGTCATTCCAGTGACGTCGCAGTGAGGACGTTGTGATTTTATCCAGAAGCCCTGGGAAGAGAATGATCATCTCATGAACTAATTCAAAGTACTGACTAAATGATCTAAATGTCTTCGGTACAACTCGAGCAGTGTTTTTCAGAGTGGCATGTTTACCGAACGGGTTGCGATGCAAGAATGCTTCGTTTGCAAAGTGAATCGAAACAAAAAAAAACATTCTAGCCACACTGTCATGAAATATTTACTACCAGAGCTCCAACATATCCAGTGCTACACTTGGTGTAAATTAGTCCTAATTCTGACCAGGGCGATTGAAGCCATTCGCAGTACTCCGTCTCAAAAGGATATGATATCCGTTTGGACAATTTCATTTATGATGCAGGTGCTTGCAAGTGCCAGCATGATAAAATTGAAGAGCCTCATTGGAAGTCTGAATATGTTTGTAGCAGGAGTCGAATGAGGCTCAGGGCTCAGTACTCTACTTTCATGAGCCACTCATAATAAGAAAGGATCCTATTAGTGGCTCATGCAGCAGGAGTTGCGTGAAGAGAGTCAAAGCTTTGCGAAATCAAACGTGAAAAATCAATGAGTCTATGATTGCAAACACAATAAAATCATAAAACCAAACTGATATAATCATCCATTCTGCCACCAGTCTCTCACAAAACCGCTTCCAAAAAGTCTCCGCACCTCACACATGCGAAAAACCAACCAGTCCTTCGAGACATTGTCCTTCGGTGACCCTTCGCCTCAGAAGTGCTACCCAGCTTTCCAGGACAGCCTCTAGTTCCAAAGGGCCATTGGTTTTTCTCTGAATAAATCAATCTTAACAGCGATCGTCACAGTAGTGACTACATTTGACTACATAATCTATAAAGCATCAATTGGCTGCCCCAATGGCGGCAGTCAGCGCTCAAGCTCCCGACCCTCGTTACGGTTCAGATCTCCATCAGCCTTTCGTCCTGTGGGGTGTTTCATCTTGGGGCGATTTTTTATTATAGTTATTGAGTTGTCCAGCTTTCAGATGCTTTCAGAATGTTCAGATTCTGAGCATCCAAGCTGTGTCGCATCGGTCCTAACTTGGAGGCATCCGCCGATGCCGCCCGGATGGAGTCGCCGTTCACACCTGGGTTTTTCGCTCCCAGTGATCATCAATGGATTGGTAGGGAAAATCTTAACCGGAAATGGGAATCTTCATGTATGGATTGGTTTAAAGGAAAATCTACAATGGGAAACCATGGTTTTTGCCATCAAAATCATCAATTATAGGTCTATCGGAAGTCTATCATCCATCAGATCCAGCTATTTGGAGGTCTCAATTTACTCCCTGAATCTGTGGCCCAGGGCCCCACCTTCATGCCGCTTCGCAGGCAAGCTGCGCGAACTGCGGACACCTAAAAGCGCGTTCACTGCGGAGCGGCGCAAAGGAAGCTATGAATCATTGGATTGATGGCCAGAAAATCCACCAAAAAAAAAAGTTTAGAGTTTGATTGCCGGAGGGCAATGTAAAGTTTGGAATGAGCATCATTCATAGTTTCCGGTAGTTAAAACATTGCGGTGCTGGCATCATGGCTCTGCGAATCTTCTTCAAACATGTCCAGCAAAACAGGTGATGCAGCTCTTGAAACTGGACTTGGAACCCTGAATACATTATCTTCAAATAGAATTACCTCCAGGTCAAGTTCAGGTTCCGCGGTGTCTAGTACCCTCTGGTAAACAAACATAGCTATTGAAAATGGCCATTTATAGTGGATTGTCCCATTAAAAATTGTGATTTTCCATAGTTATGTTAGTTTACCAGAGGGTAAACACATCCGTTTTTGACTTGCGATTGCATCGGGCGATTTCTTGGTGACTCCCACCAGTTCCATCAGCAGAAACAGCTGGACCATCGCTGGTCGCGTCATGATTCTCCTGGAGCGAGCGAGGTCCGGCCGGACTGGGACGACGGCAGTAGCAATTCCGAAGACCCAATGGCCACATGGTAGCGGGTTATCCCATATATATATATACATATAATGCTTATTCACCAGTTACTAAGTGGGATGATCCTCTAAGTAGTGGGTTGGAATGGAAAATTGCAGCCTCTAAGGCTCCAAGAGCCTTTTTTCCCGCACAATGCCAGGCCTCATTTTCCACCTGTGTCGCCTGCGTCTCGTTGGACATTCTCGATCAGCACATCTGGGACAAAGGGCCAAAATTGGATCTAGTCAGACCATATTATGACTATAATCGTTGTAGTCCCCGTTAATACTAACATCCCATTACATTGTGGGGATTAATACTCTCCCATTATTAATAGTATAACATCTATACTCATATAATATCATATAATCCCACTTAGTGAGCAATATTGCCAATACTTCATATTGCCAATAGTATACCTAATATGACCCCATCAGTATTACCCTCTGGTAATTTAACATAGCTATTGAAAATCACCATTTTTAATGGGAAAACTCACTATAAATGGCCATTTTCAATAGCTATGTTAAATTACCAGAGGGTATATCACTATCCCATGATTGACATATGATTGTCCCATCCTCGCCTCGGCAGCGACGGCCACGTCCGTCTTGGACGGTGGCATCAATCGCGCTGAGCCACAAAGCACCAGATGTAACGTGATTGATGTCTCTAAGAGAAAATAATTAACGAAAGATAGGTGCAGTGGAGATATGAACTGATTGATTTGTTGACAATTTTCTGTTTATCTTTTTATTCATTGATGAATGCATTTAAATATTATGTCTCTCTGTCCGGCAGAAAGAAAAGATATCTGGTGGCAACTACATTTATTTAGTACGTTGGCTATATACTTAGTTCATTATCTATCTACCTCTCTCCTTCTGTGTATTTTGGAACTCGCTATCAGTCTTGCTATCCTCTTGTGACCAAGCTACCCACCGACGTTGCCAGCCGCAATTTGTGTGAAGAAAATACAGTACTCAGTGGCTGATTGCAACGCTGTCAAAAAACCACCTGAAGTAGACTTGAAACAAACCACTGAGATCAAGGTGCACATGATTGCAAATTTAAGCATGTGGTCCGCACACCTTTCAGGAAGTTAAGCTTCGTGAAGGTTAAACCGTTTCTACGAAACCTGGATTTGGTTCCAGGATGCACTGGTCAAATCCTGCCACCAGCCCTGGCAGCTCTGGCATTGTCCACCTGCCACGATGCTGGCTTGTGCACTACCAACCTTGGCGCAATGGGAGACCCCAATAGCTTGAAAATGGCGAGTTTGTCGAAAAAGCCCAGCAAAATCAGCAAATCATTCTGCAAGCTGCTTGTAGGCAAGGGGTGATCGAACCCGGGCAGCCAGCGGATCGGGATTTGCCAGCAAGGAACGTTTTCCCCGGGTTGATTCCAGTGTGAGCTGTAGGGGGGTTCCCGGGGTTCCTTGTTTGGAATGGTTTGCCCACTAAGGGGTCGGAGTTTGATGGTTTTGCTTTGGGGTTTGTCCGCATGATCTTTAAACGGGTGGCGATTAATTAATGTTGACTGCACACAGTTTGTATTGTTTGATACTCGAGTTCTACAGCTGTTTACATTTTTGTTGATCCCACCCTCCCGCCGCTAGGGGGAGTTGATATCGTTTCGACCAGGGGTATTTTTGGCCAGGATGCCGGAGTAGGCAAGCCGGCCAGTGTTCTTGTTGTCATAGACTGGATTGTCTATGTGTTTGGCCCCTGGATTTGTTCCCACTCGACAGGGTTGTTACAAAAAGAATATAGAGGGTTTCGTGAGGCAGCCAGCAGGGTTGGATTGGATGGACCCCGCAATGATTTTGGGGATGGGACCTTGGTCAAATGTGTCCATTGGATTTCTTCGACTTTGAAGTTGCCTGTTGTTTCCGGTTTTGTTACCAACTTGCTTTAGTACATGTGGTTACATGCTTCCTTTTGTGACTTGCTGAGCAAATCCCCATAGCAATCCATAAGCCCAACCCGGGCACCGAGCTTGTCGGACAGATCGAGTACAATGGATGGTGAATTCGCTGAATCGAACTTTGCATGGCCTGGCTCCGCCAAGCTGCCAAGGGGAGGGTCCTTCCACTGTTCCAAGCACATGATGAAGTTGGTTAATTATAATATATATATATATATTCATATATATTCATATATATATATGTATATATATATAACTATACATATATAATAATTATATATATATAATTATATGATGCAAACCAAGAATAAACCATCCCATAAGCCAACCATTTGCAGGTCATTCTCAAGCATCCTACTGAGAATGATTCAGCTTCTCTCACTTCATCCAGATGAGTCCGGCCTGCCATCTCTGGAGCAGGTGGAGATGAAGCCAATACTTCTGCAAAGCCTATGCCCGACTCCAGTGGGAAGTAGAGCAGCCATTTCAGGTGAAAAGACGCATGCTATGTCTGACTGCAAGGAAATTACTGATTAAATAGAAAAACATCGGATTTGCAGATTATAATTTTGTTCTGTCTGAACAATTTGTGAGAGAAAGATTTAAAGAAATCATGTCCAAAGTCTTGAAGTGATCAGTGTGTATACATCAAGTCATCAGGCTCGAGCTCAGGATTTTCTCTGCCAGCACATGGTACAACGAAGCCTCGATAGCACAGCCACCGGGCGGGCCAAGTGGACCCCCTTGGGGCCGGGCATCTGCTTCTACATCGAAATACCGAGTACAGATTATAGACACAGATATGGATATATATGGAGATAGAGATAGACAGTAGACATCTTTGTTAATTGACTTAGAGTATGACTATAATGATGATAAGAAAAGAAATGTTAATAATCCAGGCTATAATATGTTTTGTATCTGCATTTGCTTGTAGGGTATATATTTGAGGTGCACGTCCCCTGTGGCAAAACTGGGCACGGTGATCAAAGTATCTCAACCTCTATGTATATCCACATATCAAAGACATCCAGTGGCAGGGGGCCTCATGCCGGACAGCTGACACTCAGATACTCAATGCGTTTCAAGGCCAAGAGACATGAAGAACCCCAATGAAACTGCAGGCCTCGTGCGGAAGAGTGATTCAGGACCCCGAGTTTTGTGGCGGCTGGGGCCTGCATCAATTCCCACAATGAAGTTGTCTGAAGGAAATGAGCATTGGGCATCGGCAATGGCGTGAAAAGAAGATCATTTGGATGGATCCAATTCAGCCCACATTCCCGCCACCCCCAAGTGAAATAGAGCAAGAATCTTCTTATGTAGGGAAACCTACACACAGATTGGAACAAAGATCTCAAACAACCAGAAGGATGGGAACTCTCACAGGCTTACAGTAATTCTTCCACTTTTAAAATGGCAGGAGATGTCCAACATTCCGCAAGATGTAGAAAGACAGAAAACCAAGCCTATGTCAATCTGCTTCCAGGTCACCCAAACGACAACCAAGGACTTGTTGATCAGATCCTTCAAGAGCTTGTGTGGCGAGCTCGCAACATCAGCTGTTGACACCATCCTGGCAGTGCATCTCTATCCGCGGGGTACTGAAACTGGTTGATTCATCAGGGGCATCAGCCCCAAAAATGTGATGTCATCATGTTTCTGCGCCTAAAATGGCAACCCCCCAACCCAACCCCGCACATAACCAGACACAGGAAGTATCAATCCAAGATTGACATTCTGATACTTGGGATTTCCACAAGGCAGTGGCGGCAGGTGCCGCTGCCACGTGCCACTGTGAAGACGAATTGAATTGAACTGTGGTAGCTGAGGGCTAGCTGGTACAAGTATCAAACTCAATTCAAAGGGAAGGGTTCTTATGACTAGTTATAGTTATAGTTACAGTTATAGTTATAGTCATAGTCATAGTCATACGTATAGTTATAGTTATAGTTGTAGTTATAATGGTTTTATACCCACATATTATCTGCCATGGTTCCGGCGGTTTTTTAGTTGCAGACACCTAAAACCGGACCCCAGCGGGTCAGCTCCACACGCTCTCCACACCTGGCAAGGTGTCGCTGCAGCTGCGAGTAGATCTCTGTCTCAAAGGATCCCAAGCAAACCAAACCTGAAATCTGGTGTGGTGTGACCGCTGCGAGGGCAACTAAGGACAACCCTGCAGCTACCCGGGATCGAGGCCAAGTTTGACAAACCATCTTTTTTCAGGGTGCCTACTTGAGCCAGTTCGATGGGGGTGACGCACAAATCACCAGGTCACAACACACATGTTCAAGATTCTTCATGATCATATCCTCCATATGTTCCTTTGGAAGCCATGTGCGAAACCCAAAAAGAAACCGACCATTTGGGGATGGTTTTTACCGCCCATAGAAATGGCGACTTGGGGATGGTTTGTGGCCGTGGGACTGCAGACCGAGCTACTCCAAGCAAGGTCTGCGAGGATTCGAGGCGTCAACGCCAAAGATCGTGGCTGGAGGCCAACCTGACCTGAAGAGGCCGAGAATACCAATCTGATGGATCATTTCATGGGAGTATAGTGGGTATGTCATGGGATTCCAATGGTGAATTAGCGGGATTTATATAAAGGGCACAATCTTCTCAGAATGGCCTGCGTGCAGTCGACGCATCGCCTCATCCGAAGCTGCCTCTCACATGGATGGAATCCCATGCGGATTCAACGATTGACATGGTGGGCTGTTCTTCGTGCTCAATCGAAGCAGCAAAATCTTCGCCTTGAGGAACAAAGATGATCTTAAGCCCAAAGTAGCAAAGGACCAAAGGACCTTAGCCAAAGCGCCAGCAAGTGATGTCATGATGAGCCCAGCTCCACCCCAATCGCAGAAATTCACAAAAGCCTAGAAACAGTGGAGAACTCTTGCAGGTCCAACTCCATAAGCTTGGGCACAAGGGCCTGACAGCGCTGAGAGCATTCACCCTCAGTTGGCTATGGCTGCTATGGCTCGAGAATAGAGTACCCATTCAGGCTACGGCTATGCAACTTTGAGTCGTTGCCAGTTGAGAAATGAGATTGCTCAAATGTCAGTGGTCATCAGCAAACACCTGCTGCATCTTTGGGTTTCATCATAAGAGTCTTGGGTCAAGACAATGCATAGAAGTCATAGAAGACTCCAGCAAAGAAGCTTTACTTGCACATTTGGACATTCTTTGTAATGCTGAAGGATGAGATCATCATCTGCTAATTTGCTCATTTATTCATGTGTTCATAATCTCTCTTTCTCTCTCTCTCTCTCTCTCTATCTCTCTCTCTCTCTCTCTCTCTTCCCATCGCCACCTCAATTACGCTCGTTTATATTCATCTGTTTCATGTCATTTATCAAATAAATGATATATAAATGATTAAATATCTGTGTGCGTGGGCCGTCCTTTAAATACCCCTCTTGGGCGTCGCCTCTGCCACGGAATACCAAGGCTGCTCCCATCTGCCATGCTGAGCGCCCAGCCAAGCCATTTCAGCCAGATCCTGAGGCTCCGTAGCTGGGTTTGTCCTAAAATGGAGGGCCTCCGAGATGGTAATGTTTAATGGAAATATAGCAATAAACTTAACCATTGGATATTCTCTCCATCGCCGGAGTTCAGCATCTGGCCATATTGTGGTAGCCAATTTCAAGACACACCCAAATCGCTGCTTCCTGGGAACTTCCTGTTGGTTAAATCTGGGTTGAGCCCCCACAATTCTTGCTGATGAATTCCCCAATCTGGATCGTTCAATGCGGCCCAAAGTTTTTGTTGGTCCCATTTTTTATTGACGTTGGAATCCCCATCCAAACTCTGTCAGTGTTCCAACTCCACCTCCCCCCCGGCTCCTGAGGAGTGGAAGACCCAATATCTTTCTCCATGATCTTCGAGAACCCCAAGCCTGACCACGAAGTTGCCGCATGATGCAGACTGATATGGTGGCCAAGTCAGTGTGCCAGTTGCTGCCAAGCCACAGCCCAGGATGTGCGAACCTTCGGCCACAAAGTCACTAAATGTCACCAATGTCACCATCCTCCCCACCCCAAGTCTGTGATTCTGCTAAGTAATGCATATTGATTTAGCATCTATATATATGCACAACTGCTATTAGGGTACTGTAAAACATATGGTTCTCTTAAAATGTCTTAAATATGTGTCGTAAAGAGTGTTTCCTTGGGCCTGGCTGCCAAGCAACTCCACTGCCACTGCCGTGCCCGCGCCGCCGTGCGCGCCGCAGCGCTGTGGCTTGGACGGTCCTCGATGCGCGACCGCAGAGACAGCTGCAGAAACTCCAGCGCCAAGCTCCAGCGCGCTGCCTGTCCCCAGCTGCAGATATCACCCTGGGTCTTGTAGGAGAAATCTATCCACGAGGGATCCATGTCCAGCTGCACAAAAACCAAAGGCTTCCGCGGTCTCACACTCTTGGATAATGAGAGTTCTGCAATAACAAGGACGCTCATTCTCCGCTCCACTTTACTCCACTGGCTGCCACGGAAAGAAGCTATGGTCCAAATAAGAACCCAAAATATGGATGGACAGCTTTCAGTCGCCTGCGCACTGGCCACTAAAGCCCCACGTGCACCCAAGGGATCCAGGAACAGCTGGGTGTGCGGCCCCTGTGGCAGATCCATCCGGAAGTCCAAGAAACGATAGAGTTGGTCAGTGTTGATGTAAATATATGTAGATATGAAAGAACATCCAAGAATTCGTGACGTGTGCCTGGGAACGAGGAAACCGGGGTCAACTGGGGCGGTTCTATACCAATGCCAACATTAACAGGGAAGAGTTGTCCAAGTTTTAATAAGGTAAAGAAGGAACCTCATGCCCCACAACAAGTCATCCGTACAGCTCTCCAGCCTGCAGATACAATGCCTCTGCCCAGCGACTAGCTTGCATCAGGGAGGCCATAGCTACATTGATTGTCACCTGCATGCTGAGACAAAGATGCCATGCGACAGCAATGTCGTGATCCCCTGATCAGATTGGCACCTGGCTTTGCCGCAACTGATTCAGCCTCATCTCTTCCAAGAACCTCAGCTGCAACATCAGGGGCTGCACCGGCGTCTTTATTCTCGATGCACAGTCGGAAAAAAAGGGAAGAACCTGTGAGGTAAACCAGGCCACGGGGCTTAGAGACCTGCTTCCACTGCGCTCCTCGGCCATCCACCAGGCTGTTGAAGGTGATGACATCAGCCAAGAGGCGCCAAAGAGGCAGGGTCCTGCTGGAATCAGTGGAATCTCCAGGGGGTTAGTCCCTGTGACTACCACTAGTAATAGCCAGTATGGCCCAGTATGGCATAAGAATATATAGAGCCAGTATCCTAATTCCTAACATATTTGGGCTCCCTAATGATGAACACCCCACTTGATGTTTTTTTTAAGCTTTAGTTTAGTACTCTCTCTCTCTCTCTCTCTTCATTTCGGGTCCCGAAGTATGGGGGTATCGGAGTATCTGGTAACCAGAGGGAAGGGATTATGTGCAAAGGTTTGGACGCTCCCGGTTTTTGCAGCCGCCAGATGGGCCAAATATGGCCAAATGATTCGGCGCTCGGTGTGGAGTTGACCGTCTCACCAACCCCGGACAGCAATCATCAGAAGGTTGTTCATTTTACACCCCAAAATCATGTCGTAAACCCATGTGTAAACCTCAAATTAAATTAGGGATGGTCTACACAAACTATGCACCAACCCCAACTGGAGATGGCTTGTTAAACAGGGCAGCTGCATCGGGTTTTATCTCATCAATGGAGCCATGTGGTGAAACTCGATTCGTAGCTCCAACTGGCTCTCTTTGGCTAGGAAATATAATATATGGATATAACATAGCTCCTAAGTGCTCCCTCCTAGTCTCTGAAAATCGGGTACCGATTTATTTTCCCTCATTGGGATGGGACGACCTTATGATTCTAACAGGTTCATGACCTGTCTAGTAATTTACCTTGGCTATGGAAAATCTTCTGAAAAATAGGCAAATCATCTAACTAAATGGATCTAAATGGGCCATGACTTCCAGGTCGCAAACTTCAACAAATGACCAGGGGCTAAGCACTTTGCTAATGTTTATCCTGCTCTTATCCCTTTTCGCTCCTCAAAAGCACCAGGCTTTGTTCCCATTCCGCGGCCATCGCGGCTCCATTCACCACGGCATTCACCGCCTGCGAGCTGCAGGGACCGTGCAGCAGGGCCAGCTGCTGGCGCCAGGCTGCGTCCAGGGCGCTGAGGGTGGTGGTGAGGAAGACAGCCTTGCTGTGCAGAGTAAAAAGAACCAAAAAGAACCAAAAAGAACCAAAAAGAACCATTGAACATTCCACTCGGGCGGGCGGCATCACAGACAGACTATTGCAACAGCCAAAACTTGACTAGTGCAACAGCCGACAGATCCTTGATCTGAGTCATGCAATGCCTCCGAGATCACAAACCGGCTTATATTAGTGGCTGTCGCCACTATGGCACAACGATGTTCTAGTTTACAACGTTCCTTGAAAGCCACATGACATGCACCCAGCTGGCAAAGCCAGAGCAGCAATGGTAAATCAAATCATGCCAACCCTTGGCTTTGCGTGGTGAATTGCCCGTACTCCATGGAAACAGGATGAAACGGGCAGTATCGCTTCAAGATAAACTAACAAGTTTATAGGATTTCCTGCAAATCGGCGTGCAGTTCAGTGGCATTTCTCCCAACCTGCAACAATTTCGCAACTCGGAGCCACTCCAACGCTGCGGCCCACCTGGTTGTGGCCGACTGGACGGCGGCCAGTAGGGCCACATCTGGGCGGAGGGCAGCCGCAGCACAGGAGGACAGCAATGTTTGGGCGGAAGGCCAGGGGCCATCACATCGGGTGCAGCAACTGACCGCAGTGGTCCAGACCACGAGGTCTGCTCCTCGGCACAGCTGATGAACATAAGACAGCCGAAAAAAAACATAAACAAAGTCAGCATCAAATGCACCACAGGCTAACTCTTTCAAAACGACTGGCTACCACCAGCTTGCCTGCTTGGGACTTCGCAGCCTTCTCCATCAAGGAAGTGGCCCAATGCCACGGTGCTTGCCCTGATCCAGCCTTCATCTCCGTGCTATAAGAGATCAAGTCCGGTTGAATTCCTCAGCCACACTGCCCTGCTGCTGGTGTAGAACATTGTATTGAAAGATCCATCATCCAAGACTATACTTTCCGACATCTCTCGGTTGTTTGGTTTCATGTTGGTTCCCTGCATCTATTTTCACAATATTGGGCCACAAGACATCACCCGTTTACCGCCAGGTGGCCTAGACGAAGTGCCTCTGAAAAGAGCCATGTGGCTGCAAACCACGGGCAGGTGGAAGCAGCTGCTGCAACATTGAAGTGAACTACGTTGATTCGCAAGCCGCTCTGCGCAGCAAAGAGTTCCTCAACCACCTCCCTATAGGGCTTATTACCTGAGCTGGATGAATAAAGGGACACAACAGAGGGAGCCACTGTGGACTCCAGATTTGTTTGTCTAAAAGGCAGCTTACTCCATCAAAATAATCAAGTCCATGCTGGAGGGCATACCCCATGTTCAGACACACCTACATATCATGCTGGTGATTTTGGACCCAATATATAATATACGTACTTTTGTATGTTTCAACCTCATGTGTTGATAGTTAAATATTTCATATTCAAAGCAAAACCACCATGTTTGATGGCTAAATCCTACAGTTCTTCATAGTTAAATCACGCTGATCCCTTGTTCAGTATGCCGCCGTTTAGGGTGGTGCCCCCCAGTTGCAGTATGTTTGTTGGTTTATAATCCACTTTAATCATAATTAAATCCCCCTTATCAACCCTAGTTATTGGAGTTATAAACCAATTTAGCTAACTAACCGACCAACCAACCAACTATCTAACTAACTCTTTATATGTATCCCTCAAGTTAGCTAACGAAGTGAGATAACTTTATAAACATTTCTAAACCATTCAATTATGAGGCCCCACCCTGTTTTTCCTCAAACTAAAGCCAGGTCCAAGATGCCCAACGCCCTCAGTCGCTTTGTAAGACTCGCAGCTGGCCAGCTTTGGGCAGACGCACCACTCATCCGCCATGGCAACGGAAGCTCTTAGGCTTAGCAAAAAAAACGGTGCAGGCCCAACTCTACGGTCATTTTTATAGGAAAAAATGGAAAAAAAAACTTAAATTGCTATATATAAATGAGAAAAATGTGAAAAATAATTTGCAAATTGTCATTCTGAAATCGGAAAAACAAAATAATACTCAAGGATACATAAGCTGACACTTTTGACAGTGCGATTCCTGTGTCGATGTTCCAACAGTGTCGGGTATCAAATGATCTGTCAAATGTTCTAGGAATCACTGGCTCGCAGTCTGATGCAAACAATGACTCAGAGTTCATTCCTCCAAAGTCACCAACATACAAGGAGACCTCGTTTTTGGTCCTCTGTCTCATTCTGCACTCACAATACTCACATACAGCTGAAATTTGACCAATACAGTTGTTGAATAATTTCAATGCATAAAATGTTCCACCACAACAACGAATTTGAAACAAGACGCGCATTCCAGGGACTCTCTACCGACAACGAATGTAGGCCAACTGACCCTACTCATCAATCTTGGAAAACAGATTTGACCAATTCAGAAAGGGTGTCCGAACCTTACAACGCGCCAATTCTAGTGCTTCTCCTATGCCCCCTACTCACCTCTCGCCCAGGAGCCCGGCAATGCTCGGAAGTTGCGTCGCACATGGCGTCCAATACTTTCTGCATTGAGAGGCTCCTCCACGGCAACAAATGTGTGCGACCACAGCATCGGCAACGGAACAATCACTCACAAAGGTACACATACCTCCAAAATTGCAATGGGAATATGGAAACTGAAGATTAACCCGTGGATTTCGAGGCCCTATCTTTTTCAGACAAAACAACACCATGCTCACAACAAGGTAATGCGATTCTTGCGAACAAGTCAATCTTAAACTGGAAAAACCCTTGTTCCGATTCGTTCACGGCAAGTAGAATGGTCAAAAAACAAAAAAAAATGTTGGCCTGATAACCTAGGTCCGTTACTAAGGATTCAAAATTCAAAACATACGTTTCGTCAAATGATACTGACAAGGACCAAAAATACATAAAGTACTACATACTTGTATTCAGCAGCAACACCCAGCACCAGACCTCAAGGAGAGCAGCAAAACATCAATTCATTTGGCTGGCGTCTGAACGGACATTCTACATGTCAGTCCCACCACACAATCCGCAAAAGTGTACAATTCCGTCGTTGGAAAATAGCCTTCTTGACTTGAGAGGATGACAACTCTGTTTTTTTGCCCTTGGATCTGTTTGTGAGCAGCTCTGGTCTTTCATGAAATTTGGTTTTAAAAAAAAACGTCAAAACCTCATGTTATACAATGGTGTTTTTCCCACTTCGAACCTTCTGCGCCTCCGATTGGTGTGGGTTGCAAAAATTTTGCCCTGATTTCATGAGAATGAATGACTAGACCAGCATTGTTCCGCACAAACCTTGGCACAAGTTTTGCTCCTCAGCCACGGAATCAACACTTGGAATAAGAAGTTCGCAGCCACAAAGTTCAAGAACGGCCTTGCGACGTGAAATTGCCTGGTAAAGTTTATAGCGGTATCACCAACAGCAATGTTTCACCTGGCCTGGCATCGGAGCAATTGCCGCAACGCCATGGCCCGGCATTGTGAAAAAGCAAGGGTGCCTTCGGAATCATGTGTTACAGAGAAAATGCGGCACCTCATTTTTGTCGTTTCGTGTTTTTGACCGTTTGCTTTGCCTTGGTTCAATTGAAAGCTGTGTGACGCAATCCAACAACCATTCTCTTAAGCATCACATTGACATCGCATTGTGGCTGGAGTTGTTTGATTGGCAACAGGTGGAAACCACTGAAAGGGACTAACACGGTGTTGCCAAGTTTTCTGTCTCCCCAAAACGTTGCCATACCATGACACAAAGCCGACATGTGTGACAAAAATAAATCGCATCGCACCCTCATGGGAGAAGGACGGGTCCCTGTTCCGGAAATTTTTACACCAATGTTCCGGAAATCTTTACACCAATGTCAAATCAAAATAAACTAACACCGCACGATTAAACAACCTCTACTGCCCCAAAAAAAATTGTAATTTAAAGACCGTTGGCCCCCTGGATGAATATTTTTTTGCCTGGACCTTATTAATAAACAACCTGTGGTGAAATCATTTTTTTTTGATCCATTTTTTTTGATCCATGTTTTTTATTTCCATTTTTTTTTGTTTGTCCTCATGCCTCATCAATCTCGGAGTTCATCAAAGTTATACCCAAAGCCTAAGTTGAAATATGATTTTGTTTGTTTTCCAACTCTGTCTATTTTTAAAGGGTTTCCGTATAGCATACTTAAGTTGAAACCTCATGAACGCCAAACCCCATCACTGCTGATCATTGAAAATTTGAAAAATATTTCTCAAACGATCAATTTTTTACTACATTCCCGATGAAAATCATTAATTTGGATCGCTTCCAAAGGGTACCTCCCATGAACCCATGTCCCCCCATTAATAATAACCACGGTGATTAATTAACCCCCATGTCCCTAATGTTTTTTTTCTTTGGATCTGTCCATTAATTCCCAATGCCCCCCCATAGTTTTCAGCCAATGTTTTTAGTCAATCAAATCTCATCAAACCCAATGGAATTCAATGAAAATCTAATTTACTTTAATAAATTCCAAACTATATCCGAAATTTTACGGTTCAGCGGGCGTTTATTTAGAGCGGAAACTAGGAAAGACCTTCCAAGGTCAATCTGACCTTGTGGGGAGGGGGGGTTATTAATCCCGCGCTGACATTAAACCAGGCTATATCGCTATCGCGGCAAAAGGTCCCCAATGACATGGCAAGGATGACATCATCATTTCCAAACAAATTCAATTCTATTTTATCATTCATTTGCAACGTGTGCCACCATGCGACTTTTGGTTGCATATTTGCATCATGGATGTCGGGGAACATTGCCAACAATCGTCTGGACTATTAAAAAAAAATATGTGCAGCGACGAACACCACAACCTTCTGTGTTTGATGGTGACATGAAAATGCAACATTGCCGATGCCAAAAAAAATACAAAAACAATACACCGAAGAACCCCAAAACGAACAATGATATACAATGATTTGTTCTAATGACTCCATTTTTTATCCCATCTGGTCTACCCCAGACGGTCCGGTCCTCCAAAATAACTGGGTTAAATGTGTGGGTTTGACCTTTTTGACCATTAAGTCCTGGCACCCTTCCCTTCAGAAGTAAAATTTATCTACTGAAACGATCGAAGATTGCAGAAACCAATGAAATGGTTTTCACTTTTTGACTTTGGCCTTCACTTCGCCTTTCGAAAGCCGCCCTTTTGGTTTTGAGCCTTCATTTCCGCCTTCTGACAACGCCTTTTTTGTCACACCAAAAATGATCCAGAAAATTGTTGATTGCCTTGCTTTTGGAAATTAGTGTCGTGATGTCTGACCCATGCAAACACAGCATAATAGACATCGCATCACCACTTCCAAAGAACCAATTTTTGGTCCCAACTTTGTGGACTCATGTCAAAACCTTACCCCGTCAAACAATCATGCGACACGTGTTTTCCTGTTTTGTTTTGGCCCGGCGACCTTTTTTACCGCACGGGATCCGAAACGGGTGCGTCTTCAGACTGTTATATTTGAGGCCAGGGGGAGGCACGAAAGCTACCACCAGGACTCTACTAATGTTGTACCAGAGACTGCGCAACCGCAAGGGTAAACTGATCAACTGATGACGATGATGGTGGGTAGGACTAAATTTGATAATAATGCTGATGATGATATGATGACGATGACGACGATGACGACGATGACGACCACGGCAACAATGATGAGAAAAAAATGACCATGGAGAAGGTGAAGATAAAAACGTAGGGTCAAAACTTGTACCTGCCCCAAAACTTGCTGATGATGGTGCAGGTGCTGACGATAAATGTTGAAAATGTCTCGTTGGGGGGGGGGACAACCCGTGGATGCGCTGGCGCAGCGCTGGGATCGCCTTTTGGCACAGAAAGCGGCAGTGAGCGAACGCTTGCGGTCAAGCTACGGTGCTATCGCGGGTGCGCCAGAGATGGAACCAGATGATATTCACCTGGCGGTTTGCATTGCAGCCTCCGAGTCTTTTGAAACAGCCCGGCGGTTGCCGAAGCGGCAAGTGGTGGACAGTGACGAGAAGCGATCAGAGGATGCGCTCGCTCAGCGCTGGGATCGTCTTTAAGCAAGGAAAGCGTCAGTGAGCGAAGACTTGCGGGCAAGCTACAGTGCTATCTTTGGTGCGGCAGAGATCAATCAAACCAGATGATACTCATTTGGCGGTTTGCATTGCAGTCTCCGAGTTTTTTGCAACAGCTCGGCGGTTGCCTAAGCGGCAAGTAGTTTGTCTTTTGTGGATAATCGATACTTTAACATCGTTACCTTCAACATACGTGTGAGCATTCGGGTTCGTGGGTTTCATCTTGTTGTCAACTGGGAATCACAAACTCCAACCAAGAGCAGAAAAAACAGAAATGGAAATGAAATCAAGATGAAGGTGTTTAAAAAAGAAAGGGTCAGGGGGCAGGTACAGGCAACATCCAAGAAGAGTCGGCCTAAGGGGACCACAGGGGGGATTGAACCCCGGGCTATATATATTGCTTTACGGGAAGGGGAAAGTGAACACCCCCTACAAAAAAACAACCGTGTCAATACATTCAACGTAATATTTTGTAACGGAAGGATGGGACATTTTAAACCTGATTCAAGATACGAAACCGGTTCATAAGGTTGAACAACGTTGAATGCAACTGTTTTGCAAGGGAAGGGGGGGATGAGGTTCTTGAATAATGACTCTAACTGTCATCCTTCTTCATATGCTGAACCTACTGTGTTGTAGGGTCGAAGGAACGTAAAAATCAAAAATTGTTCAAAACGAACATTTTTCTTCGTTGACCAAAGCAATTTTGAAACCTCAGCTGCCGCCTTTCGCGCGATATAAAGGTTGAACGTAACAAACTGGTGGGGGAGGAGGGAGAGGG